GTTGCATGGGGTATCGACTTTCTGTTTTGCTGTGTACTTGAGGAGGACGTCGAAGGTTTCGACAAAGACTTCGTCGAATTAGATGGCTGTGTTGCTTTTACGCTGCTAGATTTAGTACCACTACCACTTAGCCTAGGGCCGCTAATACTAGGTATACTACTTTTTTGGGAAGATAATTGAGTTTTGTTCGTAGAGTGTGCAGAATTGGAAGCTGCTTCGCTTGTGACGCTTTTACGGGGACCAAGACGACTGCTGACACTCATCGAAGGCATTTTCTGTGAGGGCATTGGGAGACGAGATAACTTCCCACTGGGAAGAGGAATCAGTGTCTTTGTATGAGATTTCACATCATATTGTTTGCACTGAGGCGGTTCATGGCTCTCAGCATTATTGATGACGGTAGGAGGTACCAGAGAGTTTGTTGAGGATGTATTACTCGGATCAGGGACTTGAGGCGACTCCATAGACTTCAAACCAGCATTCAGCGTTGATACTTCCATACGACTTGTCAGCACACCCGAATCTGATTCATTTTCCACAAGGATATCCCGATCTTTTAAGTCGTAACTCGCGTCAAGTTTCCGTTTGATTTCACCTGTCTGTTTGGCATCATCGTCTATATAAGACGTGTGCCGTGCACAGCCGCTAACTTGCGCATCATGTTCATTTGGGATACTTATGGCACTATCCGTTGCACCTATAATCGGACGGTGACCTTCTACTCCATCTATTTGCGAGGTTGCTGGATCACTGCCATAAACGCATTTAAAATCTGGAGCATCATATGTGGAGTTTAGGGGTTTCGAAGGTGTTGTAACTTCGTCACTGCTCAAATTGACACATGCGTCTACACTTGAGCTGAGATTCACCTTGGGTTCACAACCTATTGAACCTTGCAATGGATTAAAACAGCACTCATTCGCGGTGATCGTATGCTGACGTTCAGGTTTACCGTTCTGGTCTTCAGCAACAATTTCCTCACGACTGTGCGTAGCACTAACGTCACAGGAACTGAGGCCACTGGTAGATTTTCGTCCCGTACTATCAGCACCATCTCCCTTTTTCTGATTTTTCTCACCTATGCTTGATCCAGTGAGAGAAGAGTTTGAACAGTCAAGCTTGCCTCGACTGCCACTATGTTCCCGCAAATGAGTTTCTTGTAGGCGGGCCAATTCAAAGACATCAGAACTTCTCATACTGGAATAAGAAGTATTGACTTTCTCCGATAGCTTACGACTCTTCATCGTAAGTTCACTTGCAGAAAGGGACTGAGACAATGGATTCACTGTCGACGGAATGTCCAAGCTTTTAGTTACATCTATATCACCTTCATTATCTGATATGGGTAGTGAAGCTGTCAGTGCATGTGATCTCGCCAGAAGAGAAGGAACTTTGAGCAATGAATCATTGACTTGGTATTCACTCACTTCCTTTAAGAAATCCATTTGTTCCTTCGAGTATGTCCGTGAAAGCACGGAACGCTTTTGACCACAAACCTTTGGATCTGGAACACTTGTACTGCCTGAAGTAAATGCAGGCAGTTGGTTGCTCTTCGTAGACACCTTTCTCCGGCCAAAAATAGGTGAAATATTTGTCACTGGGATTGAATGAGGAGATGGTGGCTGATGGGACTTGTGTAACTGAGGTAGCCCTGAATGCATAGCTTGAGAAAAAGGTGGTTGAGGCTTATCAGGATATCTTGTGTAGTCAGATTCATGTGTTCTGACATCAAATACTTCACCGAGGGGCACTTTTTGGTTGTTTTTTGATTTACGTAAAGCATATGTGCCATAAACATCGGACTGTAGGTCTCGAAACGGACCATTTAAACTACGGCGAAGATCTGCTAGAGGGTCAATATTTTGTATATCGTGATTTGCGTGCGGTGAAATCATGTTGCTGAAATCCATTGAGCCATTCACAGACAATGTTGAGTGATATATCTGACGGTCTGTGTTGTTTACGTCTACCTGATTGACAGATTGTTTTCTCAATGATGCTTCTTCAATTAATCCCTTTATTTTGGCCAATTCATTTAATCGATTCAGAAGATGGTAGGAATCATTACAGAATTCCGGGTCCCGGTCAAATGGAGTACGATACCAGTTTCTGCAACTCGCTTCAACGTCTAAAATAGCACCTTCGTCTCTATTGCCCTCTGAGTCTATTTCGATGGGATCACGAGAGGGGTCTATCCACCAATCACCCCCACCACCTAGTCCCAATTTCGCTTCCAGAATACTCAAAGTCTCTTTATTTATAACAGACGGCAGCATACGTTCAAATTCGTCATCAGAATTATGTAGTGTTTGATCTTCATCTGGAGTTGATACAGATGCTGAATTGATGGAAGACAAAACAATTTTGGTCTCCTCAGAAAATGCAATATTCGACTGCATTCCAATTTTTGAACTGAAATATGAACAAATATGGGGCGAATTAAGCGAATGACAGCGCATATATGTATATATACATTACTAACCTCGAAAACTTAGAAGAGGTGTTAAATGATGGTCGTTTCAAGTGTCGCGTGTTCAATAGCCAATATCTGTGTGACGAGCTCGTGTGTACCTGTCTATTTCGGGTGTTGGCTTCTTGTCTTTTCGGAACGGTCTCGATATGAACTTCGGTTTTAGAGACGGGTGTTCCCCGTTTAGCGCATGCACTGATACTTACGTGTCTCCTAAGCATGACTGAGTAATTCGCTGCACTGATGGGGAAACTGGATTCCGCAGACCATTTTAGCAGATTGTTGTGGTGCAATTGTAGCATATGCAACCGCCCCCTTAAGCTGTCTCCAAACGCTTAGGGCACCCGTGTCGATAACAATGGCAAGTTTAACCAGTTTTGGTAATTTGTCGATGCACAATATAATTAGCTACCATTCATTCCCCTGTATTCTTTTTGCCAAAGGGTTGCGAAAAACATTTTGATCACTATCAGCGAACACTGCTGATGATGACGTGGTGTTGACTTCTGTATAAACATATTACTGAGGCAATCTGCCTCCGCCTCTGCATTATCATGGTCCTCCACGTTAGTGTCTTAGTCAATAATGAGTTTTAGGACTCTATAACTCATCGTGTTCATATAGTTCACTTGCAAGAATAGTTTTTCTGGAGGCAGGCCACTTGATTTGGGGTCAGGTTACTTCAGCGTGTTGTCGACTGAAATTGCCTCCTGCAGTTTTCACACATACCTGAGTAGGACATGTGTTTGTGTTATGCTACACTACACAAGTCCTACTAAACTCAGTGTCTCCAATCACCCACTTGTTCACTACATTACATAACCTGCGAGTACTGACAGCAAAACACCTATGGGGAATTCATTTGCTGAACAGTCAGAACCAAGATATCCTCAGTCTTCTTTGGTATCTGGTTATGACGTTGGTGGGCGCCTGATTAAGCAGAGTATATGTAGCTATAATAATAATAATTTATATTTCGTTTAAACTGATGTTTACAGGAAATGTATGCCACTTTTACAGGCACGATCAGTTATGTTATAAATTACAATAGTCAAGTACCATAAATTAGTACTTTTTCAAAAGTTCAAATTGTTGGTTTATTGTACAAGCAATCCGAACAGGTTCCTACAAATGTTAAATTGTAAACCCTTCACTCGGGTCACCACTGAATTTGTGCGACAACCCAAACTTCGTTCCGTTTCATTCTGATAGTTATGGCCAACCAGTGAACAGCGTACATTTGGGTAAGTGCTATGCTGCCACGTGATTAAAAGTTGCTTCAAGAAGAGAAGAAAGTCCTGAGAAACTGAGACCGATATGGTTGGCTTTAAACACTGCAAATATATACTATCATTCCAAGGAGTCTCCACCTGCTCCTTGTATATATCTTTTAAATGCACTTTCAATGACGTATTATCCATAATTGTGTTTGTGCCGTTTCTCAGTTTCTCAGGACTTTCTTCTCTTCTTGAAGCAACTTTTAATCACGTGGCAGCATAGCACTTACCCAAATGTACGCTGTTCACTGGTTGGCCATAACTATCAGAATGAAACGGAACGAAGTTTGGGTTGTCGCACAAATTCAGTGGTGACCCGAGTGAAGGGTTTACAATTTAACATTTGTAGGAACCTGTTCGGATTGCTTGTACAATAAACCAACAATTTGAACTTTTGAAAAAGTACTAATTTATGGTACTTGACTATTGTAATTTATAACATAACTGATCGTGCCTGTAAAAGTGGCATACATTTCCTGTAAACATCAGTTTAAACGAAATATAAATTATTATTATTATAGCTACATATACTCTGCTTAATCAGGCGCCCACCAACGTCATAACCAGATACCAAAGAAGACTGAGGATATCTTGGTTCTGACTGTTCAGCAAATGAATTCCCCATAGGTGTTTTGCTGTCAGTACTCGCAGGTTATGTAATGTAGTGAACAAGTGGGTGATTGGAGACACTGAGTTTAGTAGGACTTGTGTAGTGTAGCATAACACAAACACATGTCCTACTCAGGTATGTGTGAAAACTGCAGGAGGCAATTTCAGTCGACAACACGCTGAAGTAACCTGACCCCAAATCAAGTGGCCTGCCTCCAGAAAAACTATTCTTGCAAGTGAACTATATGAACACGATGAGTTATAGAGTCCTAAAACTCATTATTGACTAAGACACTAACGTGGAGGACCATGATAATGCAGAGGCGGAGGCAGATTGCCTCAGTAATATGTTTATACAGAAGTCAACACCACGTCATCATCAGCAGTGTTCGCTGATAGTGATCAAAATGTTTTTCGCAACCCTTTGGCAAAAAGAATACAGGGGAATGAATGGTAGCTAATTATATTGTGCATCGACAAATTACCAAAACTGGTTAAACTTGCCATTGTTATCGACACGGGTGCCCTAAGCGTTTGGAGACAGCTTAAGGGGGCGGTTGCATATGCTACAATTGCACCACAACAATCTGCTAAAATGGTCTGCGGAATCCAGTTTCCCCATCAGTGCAGCGAATTACTCAGTCATGCTTAGGAGACACGTAAGTATCAGTGCATGCGCTAAACGGGGAACACCCGTCTCTAAAACCGAAGTTCATATCGAGACCGTTCCGAAAAGACAAGAAGCCAACACCCGAAATAGACAGGTACACACGAGCTCGTCACACAGATATTGGCTATTGAACACGCGACACTTGAAACGACCATCATTTAACACCTCTTCTAAGTTTTCGAGGTTAGTAATGTATATATACATATATGCGCTGTCATTCGCTTAATTCGCCCCATATTTGTTCATATTTCAGTTCAAAAATTGGAATGCAGTCGAATATTGCATTTTCTGAGGAGACCAAAATTGTTTTGTCTTCCATCAATTCAGCATCTGTATCAACTCCAGATGAAGATCAAACACTACATAATTCTGATGACGAATTTGAACGTATGCTGCCGTCTGTTATAAATAAAGAGACTTTGAGTATTCTGGAAGCGAAATTGGGACTAGGTGGTGGGGGTGATTGGTGGATAGACCCCTCTCGTGATCCCATCGAAATAGACTCAGAGGGCAATAGAGACGAAGGTGCTATTTTAGACGTTGAAGCGAGTTGCAGAAACTGGTATCGTACTCCATTTGACCGGGACCCGGAATTCTGTAATGATTCCTACCATCTTCTGAATCGATTAAATGAATTGGCCAAAATAAAGGGATTAATTGAAGAAGCATCATTGAGAAAACAATCTGTCAATCAGGTAGACGTAAACAACACAGACCGTCAGATATATCACTCAACATTGTCTGTGAATGGCTCAATGGATTTCAGCAACATGATTTCACCGCACGCAAATCACGATATACAAAATATTGACCCTCTAGCAGATCTTCGCCGTAGTTTAAATGGTCCGTTTCGAGACCTACAGTCCGATGTTTATGGCACATATGCTTTACGTAAATCAAAAAACAACCAAAAAGTGCCCCTCGGTGAAGTATTTGATGTCAGAACACATGAATCTGACTACACAAGATATCCTGATAAGCCTCAACCACCTTTTTCTCAAGCTATGCATTCAGGGCTACCTCAGTTACACAAGTCCCATCAGCCACCATCTCCTCATTCAATCCCAGTGACAAATATTTCACCTATTTTTGGCCGGAGAAAGGTGTCTACGAAGAGCAACCAACTGCCTGCATTTACTTCAGGCAGTACAAGTGTTCCAGATCCAAAGGTTTGTGGTCAAAAGCGTTCCGTGCTTTCACGGACATACTCGAAGGAACAAATGGATTTCTTAAAGGAAGTGAGTGAATACCAAGTCAATGATTCATTGCTCAAAGTTCCTTCTCTTCTGGCGAGATCACATGCACTGACAGCTTCACTACCCATATCAGATAATGAAGGTGATATAGATGTAACTAAAAGCTTGGACATTCCGTCGACAGTGAATCCATTGTCTCAGTCCCTTTCTGCAAGTGAACTTACGATGAAGAGTCGTAAGCTATCGGAGAAAGTCAATACTTCTTATTCCAGTATGAGAAGTTCTGATGTCTTTGAATTGGCCCGCCTACAAGAAACTCATTTGCGGGAACATAGTGGCAGTCGAGGCAAGCTTGACTGTTCAAACTCTTCTCTCACTGGATCAAGCATAGGTGAGAAAAATCAGAAAAAGGGAGATGGTGCTGATAGTACGGGACGAAAATCTACCAGTGGCCTCAGTTCCTGTGACGTTAGTGCTACGCACAGTCGTGAGGAAATTGTTGCTGAAGACCAGAACGGTAAACCTGAACGTCAGCATACGATCACCGCGAATGAGTGCTGTTTTAATCCATTGCAAGGTTCAATAGGTTGTGAACCCAAGGTGAATCTCAGCTCAAGTGTAGACGCATGTGTCAATTTGAGCAGTGACGAAGTTACAACACCTTCGAAACCCCTAAACTCCACATATGATGCTCCAGATTTTAAATGCGTTTATGGCAGTGATCCAGCAACCTCGCAAATAGATGGAGTAGAAGGTCACCGTCCGATTATAGGTGCAACGGATAGTGCCATAAGTATCCCAAATGAACATGATGCGCAAGTTAGCGGCTGTGCACGGCACACGTCTTATATAGACGATGATGCCAAACAGACAGGTGAAATCAAACGGAAACTTGACGCGAGTTACGACTTAAAAGATCGGGATATCCTTGTGGAAAATGAATCAGATTCGGGTGTGCTGACAAGTCGTATGGAAGTATCAACGCTGAATGCTGGTTTGAAGTCTATGGAGTCGCCTCAAGTCCCTGATCCGAGTAATACATCCTCAACAAACTCTCTGGTACCTCCTACCGTCATCAATAATGCTGAGAGCCATGAACCGCCTCAGTGCAAACAATATGATGTGAAATCTCATACAAAGACACTGATTCCTCTTCCCAGTGGGAAGTTATCTCGTCTCCCAATGCCCTCACAGAAAATGCCTTCGATGAGTGTCAGCAGTCGTCTTGGTCCCCGTAAAAGCGTCACAAGCGAAGCAGCTTCCAATTCTGCACACTCTACGAACAAAACTCAATTATCTTCCCAAAAAAGTAGTATACCTAGTATTAGCGGCCCTAGGCTAAGTGGTAGTGGTACTAAATCTAGCAGCGTAAAAGCAACACAGCCATCTAATTCGACGAAGTCTTTGTCGAAACCTTCGACGTCCTCCTCAAGTACACAGCAAAACAGAAAGTCGATACCCCATGCAACCAATTCATCACCTGCTACTACCATCCGGAAACCGTCACTACCATCAACCACTTCATCTCGTGGAAGGACCCCTCCTAAGCCTTAACTTAGCTCACTTGAATATTTTCAACTTTTATTTTATATACCCTGTCTTTCAATGTGTGTTCAAAAATTCTCATGATAGACACTAACTGAGGTTAGGTAACTTACTTTTTTCTGGCTTTAACTATGTTAGATCCCGGTAGTTCTGCTCATATATATGTTTACACTCATGTTTATTTTAATTTGTGATTTTCCAGAATTTTAAAGGAGAAACAGTGACGTACACATATCTATCAGGGAGGATTTTTTATCTTATTTTTGAACTAATACTTTTTTAATTTCTTAATTTTGATATTCGAATTCAATGTAAATACATCAAGAGTTCAGATTATTGTGTTATGTTCATAACACAGTTTAAACATATCTTGGTATTCCTGTTATTCTTGGTAATGCCATCACTGGTCTTTTTGTATCACTTCACTTGCCTTGAGAGAAGAAAGAATGATTAACTATTATTACACCGCTTATTTAGGGAGTCTGTTTTCTTATTTCCTTCTATTTTTATCAACATTTTAGTCATTTTATAACATAAAGCAAAATATAACCCCACTTTGTACGATTCAAAACTTTTTCTCTTTACATTGGTATAGAACGAGGAAATATAAGATATCTGCCGGTTGCTGCTAATCGATTACATTTATTGTGTAATAGCGTCGCATGCACTGGAGTGGAAAGATATGGTTTTCATCTTCCAGGTTTTTGTATGCTAACCGTTTGCTTTTCCATAGGTTCCCATGTCACTCCCCATTGTTCAAACTCTGCATCAAGTTAGCTGTATTAGATTCAGCAAAATGGTCATTTAGCTACAATTGTCTTGTTTGCCACGTTAATCGAAGGGTAGGTAAGCTATGCATAATCTAGTTCTCCGTATGTAGTCTTCATTGTGGATCGGCAGTGTTCAACAAGAGATGAAAAGCTGTTTCGTTGTGGATTGGAGCAAATTAGCAGTGTGAAACGTCGATGACATACGAATTTAAGTGGTGGAGTCTTTAGATTTTACACCTAACGAAAATGGCTAAATTAGAGAAATGATTAAGGCATCCACTGTTGGTGATATTGTTTACTTTTTTTATTTCTTTCATGTTCCAAATGGAGCATAGGGCTTCAAGCCTCACTGACAGCTTGGCGAGGTTTAGGAGTGCGTCGTCTAAGTGTCACATCCCGGACCACGTGCACGGTCGGCGAGCGTTCTGCTGCTGAACCGTCGATGCACTATTGGTAATATTATACAATAACTATTCACTGATAAATGGACAACAATTAAATGTGTGTTATTGATTTAAAATATTCCTCTAACTTACCTATCAGTCACTGTGGAGCAACCAACATTAGGTTTCTAATCCTTTGTGTTGATGCCGACTGTGAATTCATGCAAGAAGTGACCTAATATTATGTTATTTTCGGTGGCTGAGAATGCATAGCCACTAATCCTCAACATCACTAAAAGTGGGGTGCACATTGAGAGATGGAAACATCATTTATTGACCTCCGATCATCCACCACTAATTTATAAAATAACCTAGTTATGTTGTTTACCAGGTGATACCACCTGTACAGCATATCTGGTCGTTCCAGTTGATTTATGCTTACAACCTTTTTAGGACCATACTGTATTCTCAACTTCACTATCACTGCTACACGGCAACAACGCTAAATCGGTACATGCTACCTCTTTACTCCCTTTACCTTGAATAGTTTCCTCTTTCAGTCACGAAAATAAAGCGAATGGTTTTGCATCGACATTTTGCTTTCGATTAATAGTTAAAACGCCCAACAGGCAGACAGAAGTGGTATAAGCTAGTAAGTACCAGAGAGGTCTTTTCGTGACCTCATTGGTGGTTATCTCGTTAGGGTTGGTGTAGTGTGGAATTCTCCACTTCATTCCTTATTCAAAAGTTGGAGTAAATACCGATCAACATCACACCATCTTCCTATACCGAAGGAAGGATCAAGTGCATTTGATTTTCCAGTGATTTTCTACTGCGGTTTGTATATTTTACTGTTTGAGAAATACGCTCCAATTTTTTGCTGGATGAGGGACGTCAAATCTAGGTGCACCTGTATGTCAAGTCTTCAGTTTCACTGATCATATTGTAAACTCAACTAACAGACATCTATATGGGCGGGCACCCAAACAGCCTGATATTATATATTTTTAAGTGATCGGATTTTAACATATTATGTTCTATATTTAGAGCTTAAATGCAGAGTATTGATTTTGAAACGCAACATGTAATGGTGTGCTCTGAATATTCATTTCATACGTAAAGGTCAGTGGGATAAATGCTACAATTAATTCAAGTTTTTGGCTCAGTGGTGGAGTTGACTTAAATCGTTTCTTTGAAAGGTAAGTCTTCTATCAAAGTACCCAAATTAAACGTTTTATGGATGAATGAAAGTCCTTGTCTTCAATGTATTTAGCATCATTAGTATTTATGTCAAAATTGGTAATTAATTATTAACTTGAAACCAAAACTCATCGTAGCTTAGTAGTCATTCTTCTTATTATTATTCCCTTGGGTTCCGAGTGGATCATAGGGCCTAAACAACACAACCCTAATTTCTATTTCCTGCCATCCTCTTTATCTGGGTCCACAATTACCTATAATCTCTCTTTTTCTTCTCCACACGATCTCCTCAATGTATGCCTGATCCATATCCGTTTTCTCCTACATATTTGTTGAGCGATCGGCTCTTGGTTGGTTTGTTCCCACAGTTTGTTATTACTTATTCTTTCTGGCCGGCTGGCCATTTTATCCTCAGTATGGAGCGAAAGCAGCTGTTGATGAAAGTCTGTAACCTACTGGAAATCCTTTCGTGACACGCAATGCAAGTTTTTGACCCGTATGGAAGAAGTGATCGACTTGACATTGATGTTGAAAATGTACTCATTCTAGGAGGCATAATCAAAAGGTGAGAATATAATGACATCGTATCAAATAATCAACTGAATAAATAAAATCCTCCTAAGTAATTAGCGAAAAACAAATATAGCCCGAAACCATGAGTACATTTCTATTATTTTCCAGACTCTTCTCAACTGCCTACAACCTAAACAAAATACCAAAATATACAAGTCACGAAAGTTTATCAAGCTGACAACAAGTTTTTGTTGAGACACACAAGAAACAAAAGTCCAGGATGATGTCCCACTAGGACGTCACACTGCTTACTGTTAAAATGCTGACTATTTCTAAGATAATTAGATGAAATTTTCTGATACAAAGCGATCATAATTTGATATTTTGGATACAAAGGAAGTCTATGTAGAAAAAGCAATTTGGCATAATAATAGGTGGTGTAACTACAAAAGCTCTTTCCAATGTCAAGAAGAGTAAGGTGAGTGATAATCAAATGAAAAGCAATTTCTTTTCACCAGAATAGAAGATCTCGACGGAAAATATGTGGCGCATTCGGAAATATATAACTTTATTTTGTAAATATAATCGCCAAAGAAGTGTAACATTCACCATCACTTCTTTGTACGTATGTTGATGGGATTAGGTGAGGACGGAAAACCATTTGATGGGGTGCATCAACAAAGACAGCTAGCATATATCCTATATACGTCAGACGATTCATCGTCTTTCACGTCGAGAAATGTAAGCCGACATAGGGTTGGGTTATCTAATTATAACCGTATGTATATTCTTTAATCATTGGATGTCGAAGCCATGTAGATACTGCTCTGCCACCTTTCACTCGGTAACTCTTACTTCCATTTCTTATACAGACAGTTTAATACAGATGAATGTAACTTTGTATTTGGGATTATATTAAGATTAATATTGAGGCATGTTTTTTACTTTGATGAAGACATGCCTTAGCTACCTTTTCCAATCAAACAACGTTGAACTCTTTCCTGTGTACAGCGATATCGCATACATAGCTTTCTTCGAGAATATGCTACTATAAAACTGCTGCCACAGCACACTCAAACTTTGATCAACTAAAGATTTAATATGTTCATCATAATTCTTCTTCTGATTCATTTGCTTAAAAAGATTTTATTGTTGCATTTGAAATGCGTTGTTAATTTCTACCTAACCTAATTTTATCCTCACTCAATTTGAAACACCATTCGTGATTATCAAATGCATAGTCAGACTGATGGGAATGTTTTCTAAAGAGAAAAAAATTATTAATTTTTGAAACATAGCTGGTTCTTTATTATCTGGAAAAAAACAACGATATCCTACCTGGTGCTTTGTGTCAATCAAGTGCTCGTTAGCATCACCGTTAAGAGTTACACTCTTTCTGGTAAATGGGCTTTTAAACACATATTATTATTACTGTAACATTTAATTCCTAGAAGAACATAGGGCTTCAACCGTGCGTCTCCATTGCGTTCGGTCCTCTGCTAGAGTCTTCACCTGGCTCCATGTCTACCCACACGTTTTCATCTACTCTTCACATGACCTCCTCCAAGTCATCCTTGCACTGACGACCAACTCGCCGCTTCCTTTTCGGGTTCCACTCGAGCAGCAGCTTGTCTATTATGTCACTTGATGGTTTCCTAAGAATATGGCCAATCCATCCCGATTTCTTCCTGCCTATTTGTTTCACAATCGGTTCCTGGTTGGTTCGCTCATTGCCAGAGATCTCTGTTGCTGATCTTTTCTGGCCGGCCATCTGATCTTGAGTATTGAGCGAAGATAGCTGTTAATGAAGGTCTGTAGTTTGTTTAAGATGCTCTTTATGACGCGCAGTGCAAGTCTCTGATCCGTATGGTGAGTAGCACTGACTTCACATTGGAATTGGAAATCTGGATCTTATGTTTGATGCTGAGTGCTGTTGACCTCCACACAGACTTGAGAGTAGTGAAAGCTTGTCTTGCTTTTCTGATTCTGGCTTTGATATCCTCGTCAGTTCCGCCTGTAATTCCATTATGGGTAAATTTTATTTTGATAGAGTCTCACAGTGTTATACAGTAATATTTACTGATGACGTTTCGAGCACAATTTATTGCTGATTGTGCTCGAAACGTCATCAGTAAATATTACTGTATAACACTGTGAGACTCTATCAAAATAAAATTTACCCATAATGGAATTACACTCTACCACAGTGCCCAAGTTTTATTCTTATATCAGTTCCGCCTGTAGTTGAAACGACGCTTCCAAGATAGGTAAAAGGGGTTGTTTCTTTCAGGTTCTTCCCATTTATGCTGATCGTTGTCTCTTGTTGTTGTTGTTGCTGTTGGTGGTGTTTCCCAGGAATTTTCATCACCTCTGTTTTCTCTATGTTCACCTGGAGTCCTATCTTTGATGCTTCTTCTGCTAACTTGTTGCTTTTCGCTTGCATGTCTTCCAGACATATATCATCGGAGAAGTCCAGATCCTCCAAGTATTTTGTGTGGGTCCATTTTATGCCTGTTTCCTCATTGCCCGCTGTTTGTTGCATTATCCAATCTACTGCAATCAGGAAAATCATTGGCGATAGTAGGCAGCCTTGTCTTACTCCTGTCCTCACTTCGAAGGATTCCGTAAGTTTCCCGTTGTGGATTACTTGGCATACAGCATTGTCGTACAGAGGCTGAATGAGATG